GCAGATGGCTGAACACGATCACGAACGGCCTCCCTCCTGATACTAGCATCCACCTCATAGGCGATAGAAACGGCACGAGCGTAAGTCTGAGTCCCGTGTCCCACAATGTTATGACGGACTGCTGGGTAAAGTCCGTCAATGAACCGCTGAGCTCTCTGGGCCTCCGTACGAACAAGATCCGGTGCGAAACCTGCAAGTCTGGTGAACTCACGCTCGTACTCATCGACAGTACGAGTGCCCTGCTGAAGCGCTAAGAACTGGCGCTCCATCTCTGCCCGATAGTAGGAAGGGTAGTACTTGTCGCGGACCAGATTCTTGAACATGTCCCATGTACAACCCGCTTTTTCACCGGGACGCATGCTCCAGTAGGCGTTCCACCAGAGCCTCGCATCGCCAGTGAGCTGAAGCTGAGCGCAGACTACGCGATATCTATCGGGACATTCCATAACCTCAAAGATGAACTCTAACCCCTGAATCCATTCATCAACGATCCGGGGGTCTCCCTGTCCTGAGAACGTCTCTGCATGATAGTCGCGGAACTGAGCGACTACCGTAGCCTGGGTAGGACCCTGATGATCGGGCTCTCTACGTGGCGGCATCTGAACATTGAGAAAGATTTAACATTACTGAATATTACATGATAACTTTACTGACTGATTACTAGGCACACAGATATTTTGACGAGTTGCCAAAATTGGCCGATAATTACTGACATGAAACCTGAAGAACTCTAAAGTCATCTCGGAAAAATCCTAACGTCTAGAGTCATATCTGAATGCCTGAATTCTAGAGTCATGTCCAACCTCTAGAGTCTTAATCTGATTCGAGCATCTTAACTAAAGTCCTGATCCTCAATACTGAGCATAGACAAAGTAATATGTTTATAATAACTGAAAAACTGAATTGCAACAGCACTTACCTGTCGTCGGCGGGGCGTGAGCATGACGGTTCAGGTTTTCTGAAAAAATTACTGACTGAAAACTTTTCTGACTGAAAACTTATCAGAGACGCAGAAACGTGCTCTGATACCAATTGTAACACCCCACCTTACTGTAAAATCAGAGTTGCGCAATAATTCGCAAAGTCTTTGAAAAATAAAACATTTTTACTTTGCGAAACTGATTTGGGGTGCTACCGTGAAAAATCGTTACTTAACTTAGAAAAACTGTTGTTTTAATTTAATAAAAACGTCTGGTTGCTGAAAACTTTATTTTCTTAAAAGTTCGTCAAAATCATCAAAACATCGTCAAAAGATCGTCAAAATGTAAGCGGAAGCGTAAGTTATATTTATACAGTCCAAAACATATATATATATATATCCTCAAAGTCCCGTCAAGCCCCGTCAAGTCACGCTCCCGGCCTGACATCATGACCTGAAAAACATGAATAAACTGGGGAGTGAGCACTAAGGCACTGTG